TCGAAAATATTTTCCTATCTTGTAAATTAGTCATCAAAAAAATTAACTTTGTTAAAAATCAATCTGATTCTCTTATACACACAAGGCTTTTTTTACATCTGTGATATTAAAAGGGTGCCAGAGTTCCGTAATTGTGGACAACATTTACATATTGACATATGTGAAGACCAGGTGTTCCAACAAAACACTGGGATGCCGACGGACACTAATTGTGCTCCTTTAATTATTACATGCAGCAGACCTGTTTTTATATTTCTAAGAAACAAAATTCGTTCAAATACTTTTAAATGAGAAGAAGGGGATACTTGTTCAGTCTACGCGAAAGTTTAAAATTTTTACAGGACAAAATGTCTGGTAAAAATAAAATTTTTACCAGACCGAACAATTTCTTATCAGACCGACTTTTTTCCCCTTTAAAATCCATACATCAATATGATACTAAGATTAAGAGGGTGGGTGGAATGGGGTTAATTTTCACTGTGAAATTTACCCTTAAATAAATCTTAAATTAATACAGAATGAAATAGGAAAGTTAACTATTTATAATTTTCCTTTGTAAAAGATATCTATTTATACAATTGCATGCATTTTTTTGACTTATACAACATACACTATATCAAAGATTTTCTTAAATTTAATATGCACTTTCAAAGCACATTTATTTTTCCTGAAACAATTCATTTTGGTTACTCAAGTCAATAATCATTTGAAAATAATTTCCCAACCGAATCTACGTATGAGCTATCTAAATATTTTCCCAACCAAATCTACGTATGAGCTATCTAAAGATCTCTAATCCTTGACAGAGGAAATTCGAATTAGAATAAAAACGATCATGACAGGGTTGTAATACATAAAAATTAATCAGGTATTACTGCAAAATTGGTCAAATAAAGGATATTTGTGGGGAATTTGACCATGTGTACCTCTTAATTTAGATTTATTTGGCCTTATTTTTTATCGGACATTTGGTCCTGTATACTGAATTTTTTTACCGACCCGACCTAAATTTTACCGGTAAAAACCGACGGTCCGGTGACTTTCGCATAGACTGCTTGTTGGGGTCTTAGACTCAACATACAAAGTATTATCGAAGATGCAATATTATTATATACCTCATTATAAATATTCTAAACAACGCGTTATCTGATTGGTTCTAAGTTATCGCGTGATCGGGCCGTAAAACTTCATATTTCCCGGCCGTCGGCACGCTTTTCATCATATTCCACCTCTTCGGAACACCTAGTGTATTTTCCCGCAATATAGTCCCTGTTCGTTGAACGAAAACTCCCCAGAGAAGTAGACGTCACAATAGCCTGGTTTACGTCACAAAACTGATGATAATGTGTTAAGCAAAGGGTTTTATAGCGAGCGCAGCGAGCGTCGCGAAGCGACGCTCGCGAAGCGAGCTCAATAGACTAACGTGTATGAACAGAGGAAATTCGGATTGAAATCTGTACATACGTCAGCCAAATTTCTCTGTTCCACATTCCCAGAATTCCTGCACTACCCAATGACCTTTGCGCGAATAAATCAAAAATAGTATAAAATTTAAAGGAACATTGTTTCTTACCGAAATCTTAGCGAAATGATTTTGTCCTACCTTATTCAAAAAATACCCCCATGCCACAACACCGGCCTTCACCTTGCCCTTCGGAAATGATACAAATGACGTCACCGGAAACTTACGAATTTTGACGAAGTTATGTCGGTTGCTTCCGTGAAACTCGGATAAAACAGAGCAAACACATACATGAAAAGAACGATTCAATGCAATCTCTTTTCCATAAAACTAGCGTTTGCGTTCTAAGTCAACAGAACTTTTTATCTCATTCTGACGTCAGACTTTCGTCACATCTACGGTTCGGGTATTTCCGATTTGGTCGGAAACTTCCGAGAATTTTCGAATCTCGATCCCGATGCTTGGGAAATGATTTCTTTTTGTTGTTGTTTTTTTTCTTTTTGCTTTTTTTCCCCCTGAATGATAGACAGTACATGTGTAGGTTTATGATGGTAAATAAACTGCGCTCGCCCCAACGGTCACACCGTAAAACATATTAGCGAGCGCAGCGAGCGTCGCGAAGCGACGCTCGCGAAGCGAGCTCAATAGACTAACGTGTATGAACAGAGGAAATTCGGATTGAAATCTGTACATACATCAGCCAAATTTCTCTGTGCAACATTCCCAGAATTCCTGCACTACCCAATGTCCTTTGCGCGAATAAATCGAAAATAGTATAAAAAATTAAAGGAACATTGTTTCTTACCGAAATCTTAACGAAATGATTTTGCCTTACCTTATTAAAAAAATACCCCCATGCCACAACACCGGCCTTCACCTTGCCCTTCGGAAATGATACAAATGACGTCATCGGAAACTTACGAATTTTGACGAAGTTATGTCGGTTGCTTCCGTGAAACTCGGAAAACATGTTGCGGTGCATAGCAACATGGTGGCTAAAACATAGCAACAACTTACTTGAAAAGAACGATTTAATGCAATCTCTTTTCCATAAAACTAGCGTTTGCGTCCTAAGTCAACAGAATTTTCATCTGACGTCATACTTTCGTCACTTCAACGGTTCGGGTATTTCCGATTTTGTCTGAAACTTCCGAGAAGTTTGGAATCTCGATCCCGATGCTTGGGAAATGATTTCTTTTTATTGTTTTGTTTTATTCTTTTTGCTTTCTTCTTCTTGAATGATAGATAGTACATGTGTAGGTTTATGATAGTAAATAAACTGCGCTCGCCCCAACGGTCACACCGTAAAACATATTAGTAACTTTACGTAAAAAATGAAAATGAATTTGAGAGAGGTGTTTATTTGAAAGGTTTTGCTTGTTTCGGTATAATAAACAATTCATTGCATGAATGTTCGGGAAACATGAAGACTTATTCAGCAAATATCATATTCCCCTCGGGCGAAGCCCTCGGGGAATATGATTTTTCTTGGCTGAATAAGTCTTCATATTTCCCTCACTATCATGCAATAAATTTATATTATCATACCTCATTATAAATATTCTAAACAACGAGTTATCTGATTGGTTCTAAGTTATCACGTGATCGGGCCGTAAAACTTCATATTTCCCGGCCGTCTGCATGCTTTTCATCATGTATTCCACCTCTTCGGATACTTAGTGCATTTTCCCGCAAAAATTATCGTTCGTTTAAAGAAAACTCCCGAGAGTATAGTAGACGTCACAATAACCTGGTTTACGTCATAAAATTGATGATACATGTAATGTGTTGACCAAAGAGTTTTAGTAACGTTTTGTTAAAAATGAAAGTGAATTTGAGAGCGGTGCCGAATTTGAAAGTTTATGTTTATTTCAAAGGTTTTGCTTGTTTCGGTATAATAAACAATTCATTGCATGAATGTTCGGGAAACATGAAGACTTATTCAGCCAAGAAATATCATATTCCTCTCGGGCGAAGCCCTCGGGGAATATGATTTTTCTGGCTGAATAAGTCTTCATATTTTCCTCACTATCATGCAATAAATATCAATTAGCACAAGTTACTGACTGGCTATCTAACAACTAAACATTTAATATTTCAACTTTTCCTTTTGCAGTAATATCTCGTTATCAACTGCATATGTTGTGTACATCTCCCAACTTATTCAATCCTCTTCATTAACATGATTAATTTGAATAAAATATATTTTAAACAAACTTATTCGATACTCTTGAAAGAGCATGCTCCTACTACGAAATTTTTTTTTTAATGGAGGCAGCTAGTCTACTGAAAGATAAGATTGTGTTACAGGGATTTCAACTTGACACGGTACCTAACCTAGCTCTAACGAACTTTATTCGTACGTTAACAAATATATAACCTATCGTTGGATCGTGTATATATGCTTATTAATTAACTTGTTTCACATGTAATTGAAAGACCTTTGTTTTTAATACTGAATTTGACTTGGGAATGCTCTGTCTACCTGCATGAGCAATACATCATAGAACTCACGGCGGATACGCATGACCGGTTGACAGGGGATGCTTGCTCATCCCACCTCTGTAATTTCCAGGTGTCTGTGTCCATGTCCTTTTCATAGATTTGGTATTTATAATTAAAAAAATATTTTTAAAAAATCAATCACTGGTCTTTCCACTTTGAAAAGAAATATATACATATAACGTTATATAAGCCTGTATATGATATATCGATTCTTTTAGAGCATGTTTTAATTATTGCTTGTTAATTTATAATTATTAAACATTCTAATTTTACGAAGTAAGCAAACATTTGTCTTCAAACTTTGGGGGTTGGAGAAAAATCAATTCCATGAAATTTATCGTGTTCAACATTATGTTTATATATTCTGTTTGATTAACCCCCATCAGCTGTTCGGTACATATTTAATACGATATTTGATATTAAGAAAAAACATCATTTTCAATCATGCATTTCCATATAACAATTACGAAGTGACAATGAAAAAGCCTAATAGTAAAAATATTGATTTCATATTTCAAATACTCTGTTATTCTGGCCATTTAAACTTTTTTGTGTACATCATATGTGTCAGGAAAGTTCTTATTATCATATGACGTCAATCAGACCGAAGGGGATATTTTAGAATGTCGACTACGAAAGTGAAAAAAAAATAGTTCCGTGTTAATTTCGCCAAAATTTGTAAACATGTCTTGTTATCCCCCAGAAAAGAAACATTTTAAATAACTGGATTATTTAAATAACAAAATATCATTACCATGTATTTCAATCTAATATATATAGAGAGAAAATACACTCCGAGGAAATTCGAAAGCGGTTAAATCGATCCATTCGGATCTCTTTCACTTCACACTTGCTTTTATTTTAGGTCTTCAGTGACAACGAACATATCTTACAAGATGTGATGAACGCCTGCATCCGCGTGTCGATATGCCTGTTGATTGAACTTTAATTTGCAAAGGATTATGGCTACGAAAGTTGTATATTTTACTGTTGATGGAAAGCCGGAACAAGCCGAATTTAGATCGGACGACACGGCAGACGAACTGAAAGGTAAATTCCTATCGCATGGTAAATGAACTTGTCAAATAAGATTTCACTGTTTTTGTATAAACATTATGTAAAAATCTAGAATGATTTGTTAAAAATGTTTTCTTTGATTGGACACCTCAGCGATCTACAGAGCTAGAAATCGATAACGATTAAACAGTTTTGTCAGATGTCAAATTTCGCGCACCTGCTTATCAAGATATATACGTATAGATCTATATATACGGGGTATTGCCATAGGCAAGACATTGTTGTGTATTGCAGCATGCAGCATTGTTAAATCAGAAGACAAAGTAAATGATATGCATGCTGGCACTGAAATTTAAATGTAACCTTAGACTCAGTATGATGTGGTCATAATGGAAACATCAACTCGTACAAAACCTACACGAAAGAGAAAATTATCATTATTCTTCACAGAAAGCTGTACAGCTTAAATTGACAGTTATCTCAAGTTTAATTAAGTGGCACATGTATACCTTTTCGTAGATATTCAATTATATAGAGCTATTGTCTCTAATTCTATTACCTGCATGAAAATGCCCCCAAAAAATGAATGAATTTTAAATAAATTAATGAAAAGAAATATCATGAAATGATTATATTATAAGATATATACATGTATAAAAAAAAAAACAAAAAACAAATGAATTGTTGACTATATACAGAGTTTAAAATTAACTGAAATTTCTACTAGCCATGTGGGCTCCTAACATTTCAAATTTAGGAGCCCACAGCTAAATTTGTTAGCCCACAGTCAGTTTCTGTGATTTAAAAAAAAATTGTTCCCTTTCTTTTGGACACTGGGACAAAAACAGATACAAATAAAATATGATTGTGCATTAATATGAGTACATTTGTTTAAAATTGGAGTTCTTACTTGATGAAAATCAAATGTCATATGAATATTTAATCAAAGGAAATAAAATTAAATTCACGCATCACTTTTACTATCCTTTTTTTTTTTACATGGTGGAATACGTATACATGTATTTGCTCCTTCAAGTTCAACCGATGAAGTGACAATGGTACATAAATAAGATTTTCAATGTTAAATATTTTAACTGTAACATATCTAAAACAGTAATAAGTAAAAACACTTATAATTTATATGAAAAGGTAGTTTGGAGTTATTAAAATTGTATATATATCTTTTACGTATCAACGGTGTGCAGAAGAATGGAGGAAATTCGGATTAGAAAAAAAAAAAGATCGTTTTTGGGCTTTCACAAATCATGTAGTACTGTTAAATGGAAAAGATGAAGGATATTTACGTACAATAGGACCATGCTGCTGTGATTTATTTCATTGGTTGGGAGTTTGAATAAAATAATATGTGGAAATGTCTGTTTTTCAGTAAGGGGACTAGTCGAATGAATTCGGCCTCTGCAGAATTTTCATTTGCCATGTGGGCGAGCAAGTTATAAATTTTATGAGCCCACACCAAATTTTACTTGCAATTTGGGAGCGGGCGAGCGTTAATTTTAAACCCTGATATAAAGAAGATTTTCAAAGATGAAAAAAGAAAGTTATTTAGGCCATAATAAAAAAATTCCTAGATTCTCATCTGAATTTTTTGAAAAATTGAGGCGAGCGGGCGAGTTTTATTATATATTTTTTTCCATTTTACAGATTCTTTATAGACCTGGTCTGTCGGTGCAGATTTATCTTTAATACCGGAATAAAAATCATGGTAGAGACCCGTTTGTCTATTACTACACATCATCACCAATCTTTCACAGCCAATGACCCTTGTTTAGCATATTTACAGCAATTACCATCTTTTCAGCTGTCAAAATCATGCTGATCGACATTCGCGGTATTTGAAACAAAAATTGAATGGTAGTTGAATACCGATCCCGATCAGAATTAAGACGAAGAAAAACAGAAATTAAAAAAATCAGGGCAGGGGTAAAAAACCGGGGTGGGTGGGGATGAGAATCTAGGAATTTATTTATTATGGCCTTATAATGAATATTTTATAAAAAGAACATGAGGAACACATGCATGTTCATAACACAGTGATTGGGAAGCCAGCTTGCGCCATGCGCCATAGTCGCATTGAAGTGAAAAATGGCGCATTTAATCAATCAATCATGGCGCCAAGGTGCGCATTCAATTTTTAGTGATGTTATTTGGAAATATTTTGCGTACGACTTTCTTGTTTTACTTTCGTTTTAAATGCAGTCAATTTAAAACAACAAATCTCATTGGTTCAAACCTGTCAAAAAATACCGTATAAGCAGAATTTTTAGCGAGGATTTAATTTTGGCATCATTAGCGAAGCTACCAAGGTCGCTAAAATTGAATATCGCTAAAAAATGATTGTAAAAATTTCTTTAGTGAGCATTTCAAATCGCTAATATTACTTCTCGCTAAAAATAAAATACCCAATTTTAAGGACAAATCGCTAAATTTGCGTCTCTCTAAAATTTCCACATATACGGTACTTCCAGTTAAACGAAGAGATACTTCATTCATTTGTATGGTAGGGCTGTTCCCTTTCCAAAACTGTCGTAATTTTAACACAAAATACGGGTCAGTTATATTCTAAGCAAGTTCCTTTAAATTTGCTGCATTACACTTGTATTTCATATTTGTTTGTCACTTTGTTATTTCTTGAAATGGCCCTTCAGATTATATTGATGCCCATTCATTTTCGAAATGGCCCATCAAAAACATTGACAGTTGCGCCATAGTCCCATTGACTATTTTGGCCTTCCCAATCACTGATAACATTTTTAATTTCCATCAACTCTGCCAGGGTTAACATTAACTTTTTTCCTACTTGTCCATATGAACAAGTGACCAAGACACATATACTTGTCCGAACATCAATTTCACTTGTCCGAAAATTTTCAATAAACTTTGATTGATTCATGATATTATTGATTAATACAACAAACACATAAAACAAAATTTTAAACAGTTCTTTTTATTATTTAGAGACTCCTTTACATTAAGATGCAGATGCACTTGTCTAATTGGACAAGTGCCCAGCAATATTCACTTGTCCATAATTTTTTTTTCACTGGTACCAGACAAGCAGACAAACCGTAAATATAGAGAGCCCTGTCTGCTGTTGAAGGTACCCGACAAAACAGCTGATGTACTGGTCATGCAATTCTGGTTTGAGAAGAGTAGCTTTTTTATTGATAGATGTATAAAATTTTAATTCATTATATGTGCTTAATATTTTAAGTTAGGGCCACATCAATAAAAATTTTTGTTCGTCGGATCCACATGCTCGTAATTAACCGAAACTAGAAAAATAATATTAAATTCAAAATTTCCCGCACCATGGAAATTCTGTCCATTTTAGGCTCTCTTTATCGCATTTTTCATCTGCTTACCCTGCAAATCAGAAAAAATATAATTGTCCGCTCAAAATTCTTCAAGTTCCGCCTAAAATTTTTGACTACAAAAAGTAATAATATTATTATTTAACCGCTTGACCGCTCTTACTTTTTTCCATCAAATGTCCGACGAACAAGAAATTAAATTGGTATGGCCTAGGCCAGCATATTTAATCCACATTGCCAAGTTATTTTGAATTATTGCTCATTAAGACTAAGCATTGATCCACAGACATTAATATATATTTTTGGACAAATAAGTTGTTTTCACACCGTCTCTATCAAACCATGAAAGTGACTTGACACTCTTTATATGATTAGGACACACATTGACAGAAAAATGGCAAAAATGACAATTAAAAAATAAGACCAAGTACATGTATGTCTCAAAATATATACATATATTACAATGTATAAGAAAATATGATTATATGGAAAAGGTAATGTTTTAATTTTTTATGGGGACTGTCTGTGAACCATGGAAATTTATTTTTGTTTGTTGTTTAACATCCTTCTTGAGAATTTTTCACTCAAAGAGATGCTACCTCTTGCTGGTAGAGAGCTGCAAATTATTTACCTGTATGTACTTGCCAATCAAGGCCATTGAGCAGGGAGGAATTTTTTTTGTGCCAGCATCTACTGCAATTGGGGACCACAGTTTAATGGTCTCATTGGAAGGACCTGTCTCCACATTGCACAGTGGGATTGAATCCTGCAATGTAAGGATCAACTTCTTACTCTGCAACTCCAGAGCAGATGCTGTACCAGTGAGCCACACAGGCGACCAAGATGAAAGTAAATAGAGTAATAATGGACCCAACATTTTATTAATAGTACTTTTCATTGAATAGTGGGACCATTTGCCCCACTATTGTTATAGACTTTCCCATGCAGTCACTGACTGATTTGGATATATGTGAGATACACAACATTTAAGCAATGTGAAGATACCAAGTTTTACAAGTGTTCTGATCTAATCTTTTTAAATTTTTGATGTCAAGGAGAGGCCATTTGTTCTATTTAAGGTGCAGCATTTCAAAATCAGACAATATTGATACTGGGGGTAAATATTTGAAATCTGCTGTCTTTTGTTCTTAATTAATTCAGACAGAGGAGAAATGTCCTTGACAACTTCTTCATATGGGGTTGTGAAAACACAGCAATCAGTGTGAGTCCTTGAGACACCAAGTTCTGGTTGTGGTATCTTAGCTAACTTACAGATACTCCATTCTTGATAATCATCAAGATACCCCCACTAACAACAGGTCGCTGAGGCTTTGGGATAATGTAGTGCCATTGACAGAAAAAACCCTTAAAAAATAAAACATTTTTTTTAATCCCCTGAAGGCTGAATATGATCTACTTTTTGAAAGCCAGATAGCCTGTACATGTGTTTTGATTTTCATCATTTTCCATGTCTGTAACTAAAGTGCTTGTCTCAATACATATGCAGTGACTTTGACAGTATATGTATACAATGACTTCGACAGTATATACAGTTCCAAAGCATACTTCGTTACCAAATAAGTAGATGGCCAACTACTGTGAAATCATTTTCAAGGGGGATTAATTTCATTGTTTTCGAGGTATGGGGAGATCATTGACCCACAAGTTCATGACCACCATGAAATGTAAAATTTCATATTCATTAACTATAATTATTAAAACATTCTTCAACAATGAAATCAAATCCCCACAAACCAATTTTTTCCCTCAAACCTCAAGAATTTGACCCCATGAAAATTTGTGATTTTACAGTATATGATGAACATAATGATCATCAACATCAAGATGAAGATTTGCAAACATAGTACTTTATACAGAAATTTTGTGGACCTTAATTCTTCTTGACCAAAGTGTTATCTTGTTTAAATTATATTTAAGATAAAGATTTTCTGTGAGTAAATGATGAGTAAACTTGTTTTATGTGAATATACTAAAGTTCCTACATTCTTCTGCATTAAAATTAAATTTTAAGGTAGATAAATCTGAATTTGGGATATAAAAATTGCATCTCCTATTGGTTTTGATAATTTGATGGTGGTGTGTGTGTGTGTGGGGGGGGGAGTAAACTATATATATAGCAACCACCATACAACAAAATAATGCAGTACACAAAGGATACATCAGGGACATTGGTACCAGCATTATATATTTGCCAAGTTTAAATAAGTTCCAGAATAAAATGTTTGAATGAGATTTTACTGGGCAATAATGTTATTCAGGTAATTGATGCTTTAGTGCCTTTCCAATGTTAATGTGTATGTCGCTCTGGGAGTATTTGGACATCTTCATTTTTAGTTGATTTGGTCAATATTGACTCAAGAAATTATCGATTGTTGAAGTCAGAAAGAAATGACAATAACCTAGGTATATTGTTATTTTAAGTGTTTGCATGTAGTGTTGTAAAGTCATAATATTGGTTTTATGTCTAAACACTCTTGGCATGATTAATGACAGAAATGCTGGAGAATTCCCTTTGGTTTAAGGCTTAAGTACATGCATGTAGCAACATGGCAAACACAAAATATTCATAAAAGATTTGGTAAACTAAGGTACAAGTTGATTTTTTTGAGATATTCAAAGTGTGTTCTTGGTTGAAAGAAGAAATGATACATACATATAAATCCAAGCACTCTTAAAACAAACCAAGTACATATAGTTATGATGAACAAGGATGCCTCTTTCAAAATATGAATTTCATGGCCCTGGGGTCAGGGATTCTGTTGCTATGACAGGAATCTAATGAACTTGGCTTTATAGGGAAAATGCATTGACCTACTTTTGAAAGATTATAACCTTGACCATAATTTCTCAATGGTTGCTGCAAGGGCTTTGGTAATTCACAGGTTGTTGCTTGTGCCAAGACCTTTCTTTGGTTGTCATTTTTGGCCTTGACCTTGGAATTTGACTTGCATTTGAGAAACTTTAATCAGCAAAGAGCTGCCTTATGGGGGCATCAGTATTCGTAGTATTTTTTTTTTTTATCAATCAGTGATAACAATTTTTTTTTTTATTTGATAGAGACTTTTCGAGCAGCTGCTGAGGCCAATTCAGATGACATACTGAAGCTTTACAACACTAAAGGCAACCTTATCAATATATCTCCAAAGTTACCTGAGAACACCCCTGATACTCGCTACAAGTTAGAAGTGGTCGCCCTTCACTGTAATGGTAGGAACTGTACCCTTTGCCATAATTTTGAAGTATATGTAAAGAGTATACATTATGCAAAGGTTCCTAAAATTGTTTCCAGAGGGTTTGTTAATTTAAAAAAATAGGATCAAATGATTATAATAATTATAAGATCCTGAGGCAGTCATTTAATTAAGGTCACTGAGCCCTGAAGTGTACTGTTCAAATGGGCTCAAATTGTTAAGTTGTACAGGATCTGCACCATGCTTGGCACAAAACTGTTCCTGTCAAAGAGGTCAATCTCGTTCTTTGCCTCATTTGTTAAGACAAGGTCAAGGTATTTGAGTCTAAATAACTTATATCTACTGAGTTTTAATATTTAAGCTGAGAATTTTTAAGTTCTTGCTTTCAAGTTTACAAAACATAATATTGCTCATGTAAAGAAGAGGTAAAAAAAAAAACCCCCAACTTTTATGCAATTTAATTCAAACATATTTAAATAAAACTTTGCATTAAAATTTTTGAGTTTATGCTGAAATTTCTTTTAAGTAATGCTTTTAAGTAATGCTTATGCCTGATCTTATGTTGCCCTGAGAGGTTATTTTTCCATGATTTAATTTATACATATTTTTATTAACAAAAAAAAAAAAAAATAAATGGGAGGCAAAGCCTATTTTGGCCTATTCCTTCTAGGACAGTTCTGAGTAGATTTCTATAATTAGGAAGTGTTGAAAAATTTAACTGAAATCAGGAAGTTCAGTTTTGGCAATTGATGTCAAAATTTGCTGAATCTAAATATTAATTTTGTCATGAACTAAAATTCAAATTTTATTAGTATCTCATGTTTTCTTTCTTGTTATAGCTATCTTACAGTGAGAAAAGGGCATTGGTAGCTAGAATATAGTATTTTTTAATTGGACTTTCTTTTGATATTTAATTTAATTCTATCAAGTTTCAATGATATCTCTAACAAAAGTAAATATCAAAGTAATTGAAACATGGAACATGTGGACAACAGAGGATGTAATATAGAGCAGAAAAGGGACAACAAAACTGTTGTTGTTTTTTTTTTTTTTTTCTTCAAGATTTTGTTCTTGGATTTTGGATGATTTTGTTCTGATTTCAGACAATGTCTTGGCAACACAGTTTGGGGCAGTGATCACAAACTTAGAATCAAGGTAATTTAAACAATATCATCTAGAGCTTGAGGAAATTCATATCAAATGACTGCAAAAACAGATTAGACTAAACAATCCAAAAAATCAGCCTGCTTCTGGCAGATAAACAAAACACTGCATCTTCATGAAAAGATAATCGAATAGTATACACTTTGATCTTTTTTGTTCAAGTTAAAGACACAAATGGGCAAAACCTGAATAAATGCAAAGTTTCTTAACTATACTTGATGAAATCCATAATGTACTTCATAATATGTATATGTGCATATTTATTTTAACACCTCCATTTCTTTAAAAATAAATGTAAACTTGGATACAAAAACTTGATAATGGTAACAAGTGCATCCCATATAGATTGTTTAGATAATTGAAATAAACCAATGGGAGCATTGAAGAAACATTAGACCCTACAAATTTAAAAAAACAGACTTTGCTTCAGAAATTTTTTGCAAGAAATTGTATATACAGAAGATGAAATATCTAGTTTTATGGTTATATGTTCCTTGAACAATGTCAACACTGCATGTAGTTCAACACAGTTATGTTCATTATTGTACTCAACTTACTAACACACACTACTCTCGAATTTAACTATAATAGCAGTGATTTCCTCATACATTTTTCCATCTTTATTTATTTTAGAATAGAAATGTTGGAAAAGAAAGTTTTTGTAGAAAATGGAGAAATTCCACCTGTGATAGGGGAGCTGAAACACAATGTGGAAAACTTCAGAGAAAAACTAGAGGTAAGTTTTGTTAACTCATCAAATGTTTTTTTTAAGCATGATTAAGATTTATTATTAATTATGTGTGAATTTTTCAGGCTACTAAGTCAGGTGGCCCATTGCTATCACCTGTGTTTGTTGGTTATGCATCATATATCTGTCATTTTTGGCTTCTTCTCTAGAATCACTGAATCAGTATGAGCAAATTTTTTTATACACAAAGCATCCATACTAGGGTACAATAGAATAAAAATTATCTAAAGTTGTGAATTTCAAGGGCCACAGAAAGAAGGGACCAAAACCATGTAAATTACGGTGGATTTAAATTATCCAGTAAAAAGGGTTCCAAACTATTTGATGTTTTCAAGCACATCTGGGTTCAGGATTAAGGCTCCATTTTAAGTTATGAACTGAAAAAACCCTGCATCTCATAAAATCATTTCCCTGACATGTGGAAATCGAATATTTTGATTTTTTTTTTCAAACTAAATAAATATGATGATGATGAAAACCTGAATTTCTTTGCATACATCCAGACCAATATTTCTGTTGAGCATAAAGAGGTCATTAGATCTCACAAGAATCAGATGGATGTGATGGCTCAGTATTATTGGCCTCTTGTTGCTTATGAAATGTATACATACAAGAATTTTATTTATATGAAATGTTGAAGTTGCATCTATTTCAAGATAATAAGAGCCAGAGTACAGCTGGTTATCTTAATTAATAATTGTTATTGACTCTTGCTTAATGTATCACTGCCACATGTGTCTTTGTACAAATTTTGTAAGAATTTTTTTATTGTAGTAGACATTGTTAAAGGGGGAGGAAATAAGCACCTCCTTCAAATTTACCTGGTTTTAGAACCTCTGTCAATCATCTGAAATTAAGCCTGGGATTGGATACTTTGATTTCATTGACATTTAGTTTGCTGCTGTTGTGTATATGTTGTGTACCTTGTCTGGAGATCGTACCGACCATTGAATTAACTTTTAGGCTTTTGATGCCTACCGCACTGTATGCCAACGTGATAAATAAGCAATGAAATTGTTCTTTTCCTTTTTTAATTCATAAGAATATGCCATAAATATAATCAATCTATCAAATAATTAAATAAATGACAAGAAAATCATGGCTATATAATATATATTATAAATTTATTAGCTCTTCTGAGCCAAAGGCTCAAAGAGCTAATGCTATGGCCATTTGTGCGGTGTGCGTTAACTTTTTAGAAAATGGGCCATAACTCAAGAACCCCTTGGCCAATCAGTGTCAAATTTGTCACAGGGTATCCTTGGCCCAAGGGCTACCATTTATACTAAAATAAGGGTTAAGACCCTGAATCAAGGGGAGATAATCAGGAAAACAAAACAAAAAGTACTGGTTGCTAAAAAATCTTCTTCTCCAGAACCACCAGGCAGATTTTCACCAAACTTACATACAAGGATCAGGATATGTTGAAGATTAAAAATTGTTCAAGGCATGACCCTAGGGCAAAGGGCGTGGTCTCAAGGTCACTTTAAAGTTGACCGAAATTTACAATTAATAAAAATGTTCATATTTTGCTTACTATAAGGACTAGGATCATCAAATTTTGTAAGTTAATGCATCTTAGGACTTCACATCATGTTAACTCAAAAGTAGGTCACAGTGACCTACTTTTTAAATTTTGCGGGCATTTGTTTTCAAATTGATTTGGAGGCATATTTTGGATACTTTAAGGCCTATGATCATCAAACTTTGTCAGTTGATGCATCTTGGGTCCTTGAACAATGTCAACTTAAAAGTAGGTCAGCGTGACCTACTTTTTGAACTTTATGAATTATCCTTTTCAAAACATTTAATCCCATTATTTCAGGCACTGAAAGGGTTAGAATCATGAAATCTTGTAAGTTGCTGCATCATGGGACCTTAAAACATATTTAAGAAAAAGTAGGTTACTGTGACCTACTTTTAGAATTTTACAGGCATTTGTTTTCAAATTGTTTAAAAGGCATATTTTGATTACCTTCAAACCTATGATCATCAAACTTGGTCAGGAGATGCATCTTGGGACTCTGAAAAATGTCGACCAAAATATAGGTCATGGTGACCTACTTTCAACATTTTATGGCTATATTTAAGTATCATAGGTATTTATTGGCTTAGAATCATCAAACTTTGTGAGTTGATGCATCTTGGGTTTTCGGATAGTGACGACCAAAAATTAGGTCACAGTGACCTACTTTCGACATTTTATGGCTATATTTAAGTATCTCCGGTACTTATTGGCTTAGAATCATCAAACTTTGTCAGTTGATGCATCTTTGGTTTTCAGAGAATTTGGACCAAAAAGTAGGTCATGGTGACCTACTTTTGAATATCTCAGGTATTTATTGGCTTAGAATTATCAAACTTGGTCAGCAGATGCATCATGGGACACTAAATAATGTCAACCAAAATGTAGGTCACAATGACCTACTTTCGACATTTTATGGCTATATTTAAGTATCTCTGGTACTTATTGGTTAAGAATCATCATACTTTGTCTGTTGATGCATCTTGGGTTTTCTGTGAATGTTGATCAAAGAGTAGGTCACAGTGACCTACTTTTGAATATCTCAGGTATTTATTGGCTTAGAATTATCAAACTTCGTCAGCAGATGCATCTTGGATTTTTAAAAAATGTCGACTAAAATGTAGGTCACAATGACCTATGGCTTAGAATAATCAAACTTTGTCACTTGAGGCATTTTGTGATTTCCAAGAATGTAGACCAAAAAGTAAATCTAATTGGCTAAGAATCACCAAACTTTGTCAGGTGATGCAACTTGGGTCTTTGATAGGATACTTAGGGTTAGAGGCTTCAAATACAAGTGATAGGTTGTACAATTTATCAGAAGAGCGATTCAAGGCCCTTGGGCCTCTTGTTAAATTTAGTTATTAATAATTCTAAAGGGGAGGATTTCATATCACAATTACAATCGATAATTTTAATTTCCGTGTCAAAAAATGAATTAACGTACATTTATTCCTCCAGTAATTAACAAAATAAACCTTTTGCTTTTGAAGCTAGTATCATGGAATTAAATAAAAATTATTTTTTTAAAAAAAGTATGACAACATTGTAACATTGTTCATGAGTCAAGCGAATGATTTTATAAGACAAACCTGCTATATGTGTCACTTTTCTTCGATACATGCCATGGTGACGAAATTACGGTATAATAATAAGTTTTAGAAGAGAAATTACTAGGAATATAACATCTTGCTTTGTATTTAATGTTTGAAATTAATAATGAATCCCAAAAGAAAAAAAAAGATGCAGATGATTCTTTTCCCGTTTCACAGGTGTCGGGGAATCAACCCCGGTCCGAAGCCCTGGCCATTTTTACCTCCATGCGTTATGGAAAAATCAAGTAGGGTTTATCTTAAAAAGATATTTATTTAGACAATAATATTTCTACTTCAACATTTTATTCTCAAAACATCGTTTCTAATGCCCTGTTCACACGGAGAGTTTAATTCGAATTAAACGTAAAGTTAATGCGAATTAGCTTCGCTTAGCGTTCACACGGATAATTTAATGCGAATTAGTTTAATTCGAATTAGTTTACTGCACATTAAATTACTTCGCATTGGCTCCGTGTGAACGCTAAGCGAAGCTAATTCGAATTAAATTCTGAGGCATGCGTAATGGCAAAATTAAGTCGAATGCCACAAGTCCGTGGTCAAATTGAAGTATTTGGGCTATTTTTGAGTGAAAAACTAAGGAAAATTGTGTTTAACGTTAAAATGTGTGTACAGACACTGTAACATTATGTCAAATGCATCTGCTCCTGCATAAGGTGACGTGATTTGCAAATGACGTCATAATAGCCTTAATGACGCCTGGCCGTAGAAGTAGAATTTTAATTTGCATTAGTTTACTTCGCATTAGCTGTCGTGTGAACGCAATTTAATTCGCATTAGTTTGATTCACATTAGTTTACTTCGCATTAATTTACTGCGAATTAAACTCGTCGTGTGAACAGGGCATAAGTTTCATTCTTATTTACCGAGAGACTGTTTTATGATTCACTTTCTTCTTTCGTTTTGCGTAGACGACGTGTAATTTGAATTATTTACTTCCCTTTTTGTCGCCAGATTACAGCGACAGATTTTGGTGCTAAATGTATTTTCGTTATAACACTTCATTAAGAAACACACTGTATGTAAAAAATGTCGAATTATTAAAAATATTAATTATTTTAAAAGAAAGAAATAGAGAAGGATTCTGTCTGCAACAAAAAATGCTTTATTTCGCATTTTCAATTCATGAGCTAAACATGAAAAAAAAAACGACCTTGGTTTACAAAGTCATAGGAAAACACATACAGGTAATACACTCAGGGGCTCAGGTAACATCCTGTGTATAAAGGTAGTATACACAAGCCAGCGTCGTTCCCTCGGGGCTTCTCAGCCGCTTCGATTAAGCTCCACCCCACACCAAACTTACCTGAGGAAAACCGTACGGTTGAAAACCTCGGCCTTTAAGTTATCTTTTTTTGTATAATTTTTTAGGGTGTTGACCATCTAAGTTGGTTAGGACTATTCAAAGACATTTCCTGTGGAACTTCATTGAAACCTTTCTGGGACAAGTCACAGTCAATAAAGAAGACAGATGAACACAACAGAATTGTGTATGAAAAATTCAAAAAAATCAGGTATGTCAGCTTTGATTACAAAGTGACTGTAGGCAGTGTAGCTATCTCTGGAGCTGGTCACAGGGACAAAGAAATATGAGTCTTGGCACATGCAGATTAATTGTGGGAGGTTAACTGGAATCAGTATGTTTATCTGTCTTCTGTCTGTTTGTAAACAAACATGTTCTTGAAGACTACTACATGGATTTGTCTAAAAATGTGTAGGCTTATTCACCATATAAAGATGCACATTTGATATTTTCATTATAATAATTGAACTTTTATTTTTCATTGGATAGGTGTTATTTTTTTCTTTTTTAGAGACAGTCATTTTAGGGTCAAGTAGATTTGAGTCATAGAATCAAGAAACTACTGTGGAATCATTATTGTTCGTAGGGACCAATGTTCGTGGCTTTCGTGGGTAACCCTGACCCACGAATTTACATCCCCACGAATGTATATACAAACATTTGTTTTATTATTTGATAAAAGTTACGATTACACAGACTATTTTATATCGTCAAATAACTGTTACTCTAGTGTAATCGTGCATAAAGAAGACAATCTGAGTGTGGTTATTGACACAAAACCAAAATAATTTTAAAAAAATTACGTATCAAAGACATCGATAACTATATACATTAAGTAATAAAATAATAAATACAACTGTTAAATTTAAGTAGTGTTTACATTACAGTCCAACACGCTCAAATGTCCCTTTAATGAGGTCAATTATCAGTGCGATTTTAGAGTAGTGCTAATTAGCCAATTAGCTTGAATTGGTTTCAGGGTAGACGTATATTAAGTCAATTTGGGCATTGTCGTCGTTCTCATTGATTTAGAGATTTAAAAATATGATCCGCATATCACTAGTGTTTTTTTATAATTTTAATTTTATTTACTGTGACATCACGGCTGTAATATTTGGCGGTGCAAGTAGCTGTTACATTTTTGTGTACACAAGAGAGATAACTTAAATAAGCAAAATTGACGGAGTTATCCTTCTTTATTTTAACTTTGGAGAAAAAAACGAAATAAAACTTGTTACCAACGAAATTACGTCCCCCGAACCAGGAAATTTTTTGCTACCCACGAACATTGACCCCCACGAATAAAAATGATTCCACAGTACAAGTCAGTGCATCTTTAGCATGTTTAGACAATATAAATTTCAGATTAAAACTAGCTTATTTATACTTAAAAATGATGAAGAATTTTAAAAAAAGCATAAGGAAAAAATCATGGTCCCTACAGATGTAAGAGTTATGCAATAACTGTCAGAAGCTTAATTTCTAATAATTTTTAAAAATGTTGCATCAAGATTACCTGGTACACATGTTTTTCATGTTATAGAGTTTGAAAAAATCATTTGATAAATCTTTGTCCATACAGAAATTACATAAATTTCTAATAACATGAATAAAATACAAACTGATTAACAAGTAGTGCATCACACAGTGGATACTGTTAATCTGTTCTCACCATGGGGGAAATGAATTTGCCTTGTTTAAAATTAATAAGTTCAATATAGGAAGGCTATCTTAATCATATATGTTAGATCTCTGATCAAGTAGGTGTTTTCTGTATTACACAAGTAACCTACATCTAAAATCAGGTATCTCAAACACCAGTATTGGAATACCATGGATACTGTAAGTTATAGACAGAAGTTGTCATGGGGATAAAATTTGTGGAATTGTTATCTAAAATGGTTTATGAACATTAAAATTCGTAGCATTGATAGAAATTCTTTTCATTATATATACATGATATAGTCATATAAAAATTTCTTGTTAGATCTAATATCTTGATAATTGTTAACTTTTATTAGTTATAACCTTCTAAAAAATATATTGAGCATTTAACATTAATTAACTGTAAACAAATTGGGAACACGTGTAGATCAAGTTCAAATGAGCTTTTCTGATCACATATTGTCCATCTGTCTGTCGATCTGTAAATTTTCATTTACATTTTCAACTTCTGTATAAACAAACAAACTTGAGATTTATTACAAGGCGTACATTGTCTTTTTCTCTCTTGACTGCATGAATATGGGAGCCACTAGGGGTTTTATTGTGTGAAATCTGCTGAATAGAGAAACTCAAATTTCTTTTTTTCATGGGTACTCCAAAAATGACAGATACAAAGGATAAAATTTATACAAAAAATAATTTAAAAAATGACCAAGAGATTCTCACATTTCTATGTTTTAAATTTCAAGAGCACATATTTTATATTTTTTCTTTTATAACATTTTTATTACCCACTTTCTACGAGCTTTAGTTTAATTATCATAACGTCAAAAGCACACTATTATGACGTCAATGTATTTATCGGTTGAAAAATCATTTTAAAAATCAGTTATATAAAATTGTAATTTAATTTTTCAACCTGTAATTTCTCAATTTTGTTAAATTTTGTTAATTAAGTTTAAAAAATTGCATTAAAGAGTAAATGCATGTCATTTTTAGGTCACCTGAGTAAACTCAGGTGACCTATTGCTATCTGTTTTCGTCCGTCGTCGTTCGTCGTGCGTCGTGCGTTAACATTTGAACATTTTCAGCTTCTTCTCTGCAACCACTGAACCAATTTCAACCAAATTTGGCACAAAGCATCTATGGGTGAAGGGGAACAAAAATTGTGAATTTCATGATCCCTGCCCCCCTGGGGCCTGAGGGGTGGGGCCAAAACCACTAAAATTAATGCAATCTTTAAAAATCTTTTTCTTTCCTCCTGGACATCAAGCAGTCAAACTGTTTGCATGATTGTAATCAGCAATGAGTCCTCTACCAAAATTGTGAAATTCATGGCCCTGGGGTCAGGGGTTCTAGTGCTAGGGCGGGGCTAAATAAGTAGGTAGTGAAAATGCATTATTTCTTTGAAAATCTTCTTCTCTGCTCCTGGGTATTAAATAAACCAACTAAGTACATAGTTATGATGAGCAAGAGTGCCTCTACCAAAATTGTGAATTTTATGGCCCCAGGGTCAGGGGTTCTGGTGTTAGGGTGGGGCTCTATTGATTATATAGTGAAAATACATGAATTCTTTGAAAATCTTCTTCTCTGCTCCTGGGTATTAAATAAACTAACTAAGTACATAGTTATGATAAGCAAGAATGCCTCTACCAAAATTATGAATTTCATGGCCCCAGGATCAGGGATTCTTGTTTTAGGGTGGGGCTCTATTGATTTTATAGTGAAATGCATGAATTCTTTGAACATCTTATCCTTTGCTCCTGGTTAATATGCTAATGATCTAATTACATATTTAAGGCCAGGATTTATTTTATTTTCAGTTTTACAAACCCTCCGCTCAAGGTTTTGAATTTTTAGAAAAAAAAATTTTTTTTCTTTCCGATGACAAATTTGAGTCGGGATCGAGATTTCAAATTTACGAACTCGCACTTCCGGTTTTACGATGAAACGGCGGGTAAATAAAGCTAGATCTGAGAAGATAGATTGGTTTAGTGTAAAATTCATCGATAAGATTGCCTTTCAAAAGGTTTCACCCGTTCAAAGGACAAATAAAATGCTGACGACTTTGTTGCACAATGACAAGCTGGTGAAATAATTATGTATTCGTTTCAAAAGTAACTGTAAATTATTTTCATCCCCCAGGTTTTAAACTGCCCGTGGTAGCTATTGCATATTGCCAGGGACATTGTTTAGGTCTCTGTTATAGCTTACAGTCTAAGCATCATTCTTCAGAAAAGGGTTGCTTATGCATCAGATGTAATGAATAAAGCTATGGGAGAAGTGAAGTCCATTTGAGGAAGAAATAAACAATAACCTGAAGAAATAAAAAAAAAATTCAACTATTAAAAGGCAAGAATATACAAATATATACAGGCATGTAGTATCATTTGTATCAGCCAGAATAATTATTTTACACTTAATTGAAAAAATGTTGACCCTACTCCCCAATACTCCCTGTCTGTTTTATGATAGGAATTATAATTTTAGGCATCAAGTAAATATTAGAACAATGTCTACACATTCACCTAACACATATTTAAAAAATGAAGATATATTGAAAGACTTTTAAAGAATTGATTTTTTAAAATATATTTTGATCAACATCTGTCATCACAAAATTTATATAACTGGCCCAAACTGGCAGATGATGAAATAGGCAATTAAATGTTCTACTTTCCTATTTGTAAGCATTATGTGTCCAGTGGTAAGGAGCTTATTAGGATAGCATAAAAAAAAGAATGTACAAATTTATGTTAATAATTGTTTTATCAAAAAAAAAAAATTATTTCCTTTTCCTTCATAACTAAACCTAAACATAAAAAAATGCTGGCCTTATAATGAAGAAAGGGGCCTCTTTCAAAATAGATAATTTCAGGGCTGCTGGGTCAGGGGTACCAAGGGGGTACTTTGACTAAAAATAAATTAATGCTTTGAAATCTGCCCTTTGATAAGCAATGGTGCCTCTTTCAAATTTTGTGAATTTCATGGCTTTTGGCTTAAAACACGAACCAAATACAATAGCTGGAAAGTTGTTACATGATACTCAGGTGACCTATAAGGCCCGTGGGCCTCTTGTAATTTGATGTGCAAAGTATTGCGCATGAAAACCCCAGTCGGCCTCCTTAATAATCATCCTGATCATAGAGTCCTCATCAAACTGTATAATATCTAAATATGCATTGTTAAATATATACTCTGTTCATTGTATTGTAACCTTGACCTGTTGTATAGAGAGGGTATCTATAGGCTTAAGCCTGTTGCCCAATCTATTCAGTTTACTGAATAAATATTGTTTAAAGTAACTGTATAATTTCAGTGAAATGAGACCTCAGATCAAAATGGTCATGGCCTGAGAAACTTAATGAGGTTATAGCCTGAGAAATCTAATTATACTTAGGTGACCATCAAGGCAAAAAATCCTGAATAAAAGTGAATGACGTATATATGATATATATTTTCCGTGCATGGCTTTACAAGTGTGTAAGCTAGTTCATGTTATACAGTAACCAAGCAAGGAAGAGCATTTAAGTGCTAATATGGCAATAACTATGATTATAAAATTTGCAACTGGTAGTTGTATTTATACAGTAGGCATTAATGTAAATTTTACATTGGTTGTATTAATTACTGTAGACAGTGTGTTTATATTGTCCTTTTGAGATTAGTAGTCATTTTAAAAATTGAACATAATGTTAACATGGTTAAGGATGAAAATAATTAAATTTCCTGAGCATTTTTGAGATAATAAGAGTACTGTTACTTAGGAATGAAACAAAACTTCCAGTGAGCTAACATACATGTATTTTGTAGCATTAAATCAGACAGACTAATGACAGTGATGGGGATGTGAAGAGAATATTCAGGCTTTTCATTAATGGATTTAACAACTTCATTTCCCCCTTAATTCATTGACAATTGGACCGTTGCTGAAGGGATATTCAAGATGATATGGCTTAGCCTTGGATCGAGTAGAATTATTAATATAAAAGAAAGATCATAATTGATTTTGCTTGAAATCTCATAAATGCAAAATGAAAATGCTTGTATCATTATATGTACCTACTTGATTTCTTTTCTCAAAGTGAAGGTCTCTCATGTATTTGTCTAATTAAATTGCTGTAGAGAAAATAAGTCTTTTTTAGCTCACCTGAGCTGAAAGCTCAAGTGAGCTTTTCTGATCACCCGTTGTCCGTCGTCCGTCCGTCCGTCTGTAAACTTTTCACATTTTCAACTTCTTCTCAAGAACCACTGGGCCAATTTTAACCAAACTTGGTACAAAGCATCCTTGGGTGAAGGGGAATTTAAATTGTTAAAATCAAGGGCCAAGTCTCCTTCCAAGGGGAGATAATCAAGAAAATTCAAAAATAGGGTGGGGTCATTAAAAAATCTTCTCAAGAACCACTGGGCCAGAAAAGCTGAAACTTATATGAAAGCATCCTGGGGTAGTGTAGATATTAAATTGTTAAAATCATGACCCCCGGGGGTAGGGCGGGGCCACAATAGGGAATCCAAGTTTTACATAGAAATATATAGAACAAATCTTTAAAAATCTTCTTCTCAAGAACCACTGGGCCAGGGAAAGCTCAAACTTACGTGGAAGCATCCTTGGGTAGTGTAGATATTAAATTGTAAAAATCATGACCCCCGGGGGTAGGGTGGGGCTACAATAGGGAATCCAAGATTTACATAGAAATATATAGAACAAATCTTTAAAAATCTTCTTCTCAAGAACCACTGGGCCAGGGAAGCTGAAACTTATGTGGAAGCATCCTTGGTTAGTGTAGATATTAATTTGTTAAAATCATGACCCCTGGGGGTAGGGCAGGGCCACAATAGGGAATCACAAGTTTTACATAGAATTAATATATAGAACAAATCTTTAAAAATCTTTTTCTCAAGAACTACTGGGCCAGGAAAGCTGAAACGTATGTGGAAGCATCCTTGGGTAGTGTAGATATTAAATTATTAAAATCATGACCCCCAGGGGTAGAGTGGGGTTACAATAGGGAATCCAAGTTTTGAATAGAAATATATATAGAACAAATCTTTAAAAAAGATCTGCATCACCCAAGTTACTCAGGTGAGCGATGTGGCCCATGGGCCTCTTGTATATTCATGTGAAAGATCAGTATAAAAAAATTCCTTGGTGAAAATACATGTATAAGGCAAACCTTTTTAGATCATTTCTTTTCCTAGCTATTACCAGACTTTATAGCAGCCTGTGCTTACACAAGATTGAATTTGAGAAATGTATACAGATATACATACATACACATTTTTAAATCAGAATTTTATGTCAGCTTATAGTGCATTGCCCAGTTTTACTCTACTTTTGTTTCAGTATTTGTGACAGTATCTGTAATTTTAAAAAAAAAGTATTTTAAAGTTTAATCAATCACAGTTTTAAAATACCAAGATGATCCATCAGAAAGTTTTTTCTCATAGTAAAGGAAGGATTTTCCTCAAGATTTTCATTGAGTCTGTGTTGTGACAAATGATTTGCCATGATTGATGCACATTGTTGCACATTTTTAATCTTGGGCAATTCATTAAGTTCTTCAATGTCCAGGAATTAATTTATATGCCCCCCCCCTTCAAAGAAGGGAGGGCATATTGCTTTGCTCCTGTCTGTTGCTTGATCTGTCTGCCTGTCTGTCTGTCTGTTGGTCCACCAAGTTTCTGTTCATTTTCCTCACAGAGGATATACTTACTGAAATCAAATTTCATATACAGAATTATCATTTTGTGAAACAAAGATCAAAACAATCATTTTTTTGTATGAATTTGGACACCCAAAGTCATGTAGAAAATTGGAAACTTATGGATGTTTTTTCTATATATTTCAGTCAAGTACAAGTAACAGATGAAGTTCGAGAATATCTTCGTAAGCCTACCTTTGATAACTGGCAGTGGGACGATCCTGAAATGATAATCCTACTGCGACAGATGTACATAGACCTTGATCTAATCTCCAGATTTAACATCGAGGTAAATCCAAACTTCTCGATATGTTTTCATATTCAAGGTTTGTGGTATTAAAAGCAACAGATAATTGAAATACATATAGTGAAACTGTTGTAAAAATTCATGATGCAGGTAACATATAAATGAAGATATAAAGTCTGTTCAGTCATAACCTACAGGCTAAAGAGGATTGAGTCATGTTTTGGTTGTGGAGGGGTAAATAAATGGCAGTCTTTTTTAAAGAACAAATGCTAATATATATTCATAATGAAAATGTAATCATTGCAAAATTTATTTACTTAATTAGGAATTGTGAATTATAAAGGATTAATTAGAACTTCAATATGTTGTCCTTGAATGGTGTGATAATGTAATCATGATCCTGACTCCATGTCTAGCAAAATATGAAGGTAAAGCATTGAGGCTGTTTGTATTATTGATTCACTTTCATGTGGTATTGTAGTGATGATCATGAATATAATGAGAAAAAGGTAAGCTAGGCCTTCAAACATCTCATTTTACTTTGAGCATCTGATTCAAAGTCTTGACACGAACATTACTTATCTGTGGTATTAAACATGCTCAATTTTGAAATTCCAATGAAGGGTTCTGAAGTTTTGGACAGAAACAGTCATCTTCAGTTGTGTCTTATTGTCAGGTGATGTAGGGATAAACCAGAGAGACTGCAATGTATATGATATTCCTACCTCGATAGTGTGTGTCTAATGATTTCATTATCCAATCTTTGTCATGTCATTAGTAGATTGAACAGCTGAGATTTAATAGGGAAAATTCTTTAATGTCCTCTATTAAACACATGATCTCTCTTTAATGTTATCCATTAAACACACGAACTCTTTCAACCTGCTTTGTTTCATGATTTGATGCTTCGTTAATGAATCTAATGACTTTAGAAGTTTGAACAGGGATTGATTTTTCCTGTTCTTTAAAGCAAGCAAAAACAATATTGTATGCTTTTTATGCCTAAGTAATGCTATGTTTAATGTTTAAGTATAAAAGCCTTTTTGAACACTAAAAAACTTCTTCTTCAAATTGGCATAAATCTCCACACACAGTGGGACACATGAAGATTTTGATATGAATTTAACACTCTTTTGTGCTGTGGATTTATTGTTACAATAAAAACATGCATATTCACATATTGTACTATTGCACCAAATGAAAAATTTTCAAATGAAAATATAGGAAGTTAACTATTTGAAGGAAAAATAAAACAAAAGCCCCCCAAAAAATAAATGTTTAATGATTTTGTTTTTACTTTCAATGCTATTTATTTCATTTTTGCAGATGAATGTGTTACATCAGTGGCTGTATGAGATATACAAAAATTATAACCAAGTGCCTTTTCACAATTTCAAACACTGTTTCATGGTTGCCCAAATGGTAAGTGAAATAATGTATTCCGGTATAGGTTTTGCATGCATGTTGTTCCTTAAGTCCTCAACCACATATTGGAAAAGGATAATGTAGTCAATGAAAATTGAGTATGACAGTTTTTTAGCTCATGTTAATGAATAGATTTCATCCTCAAAGCATCGACACTAATTACTAATTGCTAGTCTTACTTTCAAGAACAAAATTGCGGCTATTTGTCAAATAATAAAGGGAAGTTCGAAACATATAGTAAAAAATATTAAGATATCTTTAAAGCCTTTGGTTAGGTTGAAATGAAGTTTCCCATTGTGATTAATCTGCAGTAACAACAAAGTAACTTAGGCTTTGATTTTGTGTTAACTATGTAGACTTGATTTTGATTTGTAGATGT